AGACCAAAGGTTATTGATAAAATCGTGATGCTAACAAAAATACAATGAGTCATTCCTTCTTCCACGGGCCAATGGCCTGCTTTTTGTGGCCTGCAGTACATCACATCGAGTGCTCCTATTAACTACGATATTACACTGTAGTGAGTAATACATTTTTTGTTATCAAATTAAAAATACACATTAAAAACGGCGCTTGCGATTATTATTTTGAATTAAGAATGATCAACCGTTAGCATGTCAATCATTCGCGATAGATGTCATCTTAGATTGGTAAATTAAATTTGATATTGTTGACAGTTGAATGGTCTGTCACACGGAAATGTCACATGGTAATTATATGAACCTAAACTATCGAACTAGGTATCTGAGTAACTATTGACACGCGATAAAATACCTATTATTATACGATTTCCTACAACCACAAATAATAATAGTAGCTTGAACCATGTTCCCGCTACTGGTCGGCTTCTATTTTTAATTTTTTTTAATATTATTTTTTATTTTGTAAGTAGTATTTAAAAATGTAATTTGTAGGGAATTATATGTGTGAAAATTTACAACTACTATGGAATAAAAAAGCTATGATCGTCAAATATGTCAGGAATGTGGAAAATGACAATTTGGTTTTTTAAACAAAGTAAAGGAAACATTAAATTCAACCGGCCATCAAATATGTTTGCAGTGCGTCGAAAGTATACCGTCATATCACGTTAATTAATATTAACTACCCGTTACCTACAATATGCAAATAGCAGGTTCAAGTAGTATTTAAAAATGTTCGATATACATGCCACGTAAAGTCTGAGTAAAAAAAAAATGAAATGACATTAACGCGTAACCTGTCAATTGGCAAATTCAGCTTCCATTTTTTAATAATTAGCACGCCTTTTGTTTTTCTCTATTCTTTTCTAAATTAAATGCTGGAATCGAATTTCGAATTGGCAAATTGTAGTATTGTTTTTCATGAGCGTAAATAGAAGTAATTAGTCTACTATTTTATTTTTTACAGTCGAATTTTCATAGTCCAAAATATACTACGGAAACTGGGTTTATTTATAAATCGAGTTAACTATACCAATTGAAACAATAAACTCTAAATATGATAGTATCGTTAGCACCCAGGATATATCGCCCAGTTTAATTCTTTCAGTGGGTGGTCTAGAGAAGGATGTGTCTAACTAGATTCATTCTTTAAATGTGCCTAATACAACTAACGGACACAATTGGATAGATTGTTGCGTAGGAGATAGGCAGATTTCATATCCTTCAGTTATTTATATCAGTGACTGACTGGATTTTAATGATTAATGGGCAAAAACTGAGGGCTCAACCTTAACAATCAATTGGGTAGTTGCCTGGGTCAAAAATAAATTATTTTGATTTTTCAATCCAATTAAATATTGAAAAATAGTTACACTTTCATTCATTGATTTGCCGATATACTTAATTTTCGATTTATTCCTGCATTGTCTTCAGATATAAGTGTGCTATTTGACGCGAACATATGATGACGTCATAAGCTAGTATTTCGTACAAAATTCATAGTACAGTATCGTTTTTGACGTTTCGATAAAAGTATTGAATTTGACTAGTTGTCAACTACCGTATTTATTACGTATTTGGTAAAACACCTTCTTGGAGCATAGACCAACTACTACGCAATGCATAGGCGAGGTTTTCAGTTCGGCGGCATAAGTAGTTATCTAGCCAACTACTTATTGGTGTTTGGAGATATTCTTATTTGAATATCTTTTACCTGATGAATATTTCAGTTGAGTATTGTAGATCTACTCTTTATCGTAATAAATTAACCTATACACTCGGTAGATATATTTATTAGTCCTTTTTTAAACAAACTTTGGCCCGCACTAGGATTTTCTCCTGGCTCGTGGGTGCGTTTATAAACAAACAAATTTACATACACATGACACCCAGACCCGGTACAACAATCTGTGGATCACAGAAAGAAATGTTCCGTGTGGGAATCGAACCGTGCCAACCGTGCAGTCATGTCAATGTTGTGTTTACAAACAGACCAACACGACACCCAAATAGAATGTCCTATCAATTAGGAACATTTCTTTTACATCAACAAACGCTGCGCTTGTATAAATAATATTAAGATGCTATTGTCATCTCAGGTCATCTGCTCTCTGTGTACCAGACGTCCGACTTACATAGATACTTGTGACATAATGCCTTATATCATAAATTGAATAAAAAAACACAACATATCATTAAAAGTACTACACTATGCAGCGAAAGGGAGACGGGAAGCTTTCACATGTATGGGTAATCCTTTCACTGATCCATAAACCAAACAATGCTACAAACACTGTAAAATAAACCATAAATTCAACTGCTTGTAGTTTAGTTTCGATTGTGCAGTTGCATTGGGTTCGAGCTGTCAAACTCTATAGATTGTCAAAAAAAAAGATGGCCGCTTGTAGCTTCAGTCGTAATAGTGTAATTGGTGGTTAGAAAGTTAGGTATTTGTGTAATAATAACAACATAAGGAAGAGGAAGGAAAAATAATATTTCTATTAGATTCTACCAGTTATGGTTTTGGTCCCATAACTGGTAGAAGTCCTAAGTACTGTAATAAACCTATTGCTTTTTCTACTATTCTAACTTCGGACTCATAAATCCCACATAAAAACTCAAGTCTTTTGCACAATTGGGTACTTGTCAAATATTCTAATTCAATACTTCATCGAACTGTCAAAAACGACAGTTATCGGTGAATTTTGTACGAGATTGTGTATTGTGACGTCATGTTTTTTAGAGTCAAACAGCATACTTATTTCTTAAAAAATTGCTGGAATAAGATCAATTAATTGAAGTGTGATTATTGTAGTTATAGTCGATTTATAGAATTGTAGTAGATTTATTGTATTTATAGTCGAAATAAATTATTTTTGATTAAGTCAAGTACCCAATTGTGACGTATCTATCATTTCATGTTATATATAAAATGACATTGACTCAATATCATCTGCTAACACGTTACGTAGGTACATACATTTTGTATTTGCTGTAGAAACCACGAAGAAATTAGATTCATTTTGGCATTTCTCCAGGAGTGAAAGTAATCAATTACTGGTAAATATTCAAATATATATGTAGGTATAAAACTACTATGTAGTATGTATGAGAGAAACAACAAACATTTTAAATATAAATAAAATCAAATGATCGTTGCTATGTTCTTCAGTTTTCATGAATTAATCTGCAGAAGTGCAGGATTTGTTCCAAAGAGATTTTAATGGTGTAAGATTTTTTTTATTTTTCTCTACAAACTGCTTCCATATCTATCAGATAAACTACATACAAACGTACCTAAGCAATGCTATAATTAGACAAATAAGTAATTGCAATAGTCATTCATTTGTAAGCAGATCCCGTAAATCTTTGCATCGTTGTAGTTCCATCTTCCGTATAAGGCATAACAATTATTTAAACACGTCCATTATATCTCGTATAATATAATAAATTGTGGATATAAATCAATAATACGTAATAAGAATCAACTGTAATATTATATTCACACGCTAAGAAATGTCTGCGAAGTCTTTATGACAAACAGATAAATCGATTCAAAATAAAGAAGTAACTAAGATTAAATTTATCATTAATTAGGTAATTTCCACAAGTTCTCAATTGTAAATATTTTCTAGTTTTTTATAAACAAAAAACGCAGAAAAATAAAAAAAATCGTACGATATTTATGGTTCCATCTGTCAGTGCACAACTACTGCACATAAAACATTTGACAAATTACGCGGGAAAAATTAATGGCGGAAGATGACATATGACTTCTAGAAGATTCTCGGACAGTATAATCAGTTGTAAATGAAAAGAATAATTAATTAATTGTAATTTAAGTCAGTACAGGTAGTTTTATAACAACATCAGACGTATGTCATGTATCAGTTTTCCCCATGATATCATTGTTGGTTACTTATATTTATGTATGTGCTTATTTACGTAACTGTTGTAAACAGTCAACTTGGCTATTGTGGTTTTATACTCTTCACTTTATTTTTCTTTTCTTTTCTCTCATGATTAGGGTCGTTTTCATATTTGTTGCTAATAGCCAATGGCATTTTTCACTCGCTATGTCAAATAAGTTGTATTTGTAAGTTGATTTCGTGTTATAAACCTGACCCGACTATGTAACGAATGACAATTTTTGTTACCGTATAAGAAATATCCAACCTGTAAATAATTCACAACCTTATTCTAACAAACCACCAGTACCAATGGACAGTAACAAAAAAATCAAATACCACCACAATCTAAAAAAAAGACAACACAAAACCTATTCCAGAACAAAAATCAAACACCCTATACCAGTACTTATAAAAAGCTAAAAAAATCATACCTAAAAAATAAATAGACAAATAGTGACGTGCAAGCGACAAACATGACATGAAAAGCCTTTTCAACCATAAATAAGATAGTGAGGTGCACAAATGTAAATGAAGTGCTGACCCAATCTTTATAGTGGGGGTATAATGTGCCCATAGGGTAACCTATGGCACACTTACTACTTTAATAGCACATCCTTATATGGAGTAACAATGTGATGTGAAGAGGAATCGGTTGGGTGTAAAATGAACATTCGTTGTGCGTTCTTTCGGTGATTGCTTGGAATAAAGACAGGTATATGAAAATCAATAATGGTGGTTTTGTTAATACAAATTGATGTTAATGGACCAATTGTAGATAATAAATTAAAGCAATTAATTTTCTTTCTCGATAACAGTGATGCGAATGAATTCCTGATGATTTTTCTGTGTTTTTTATATGTAATGATTTTTTTAAAATATCTAAATGATTTTTTTTAAATATCTATAACATTTCCTTTTTGAGCCCACCGAAACCTCTCCACATCCCTTAAAAGGCAGATAATAAAGTAGCGGTTTTCGAATTCTCATTTTTAGCGAATTCCTGACGTCACAGTGCAGTAAGCCCCTCATGCCATGCGTGGCGCTTACCCTGCACTGGCTTGGGGCCTGGTCGAGCTGCTGCCGAAGTCTCACCCTTGGACTCGGGTGCGGCCTCACCGGATTCTACATCTGCAATCATACTATGGTGTGAATAAAACCACTTTAGGAAGACGTTCCTTATTAGAACTAAACTGGATAACCCAAAAGGAGAAAATTGATAATATATCAAGAAGATTTTATGGACAAACGTGCAAATAGTTATAATTTATAAACTACAAAAACGTTGTTCATTAAAATACATCATTATTTAATAATAACGATGCAAAAAGTCTATTGAAGTAATAAAAGATGGCTACTTTCTTTTACAAATGCAGCCACATTAATATAAATCAAGAGTTCATTAAGTCCTCGAATTAAAATGCAATCGAGTCCAATTCGCTGTTAAAGTAGAAAGTTAATACAATAATAACAGTGTTCTAATGTCCGGAATTAATATATAAATATGTATATCTTCTCTCGTTAATACAACTAATTCATACCAATCACCGACTGTTGGTTGTAACAGTTAATGGACTGATATACCTATAATCGCCAGTGGCGCCGCTTTGTAAGAACTAAATACGCAAATTTTACTCCATTACGCTACGATGTCCTTAATAATGTACCTAGAGGGAGTTACTTTATTAATGTATTCAATGATTGACTGTTCTACTTGAGATTAGACGTATCAGTCTTTCATTCAGTTCAATAATACGAATCAATATTGATTAATGTGAACTAATCCAGCCAGAACTTGTGATAACTCGATTCAACCATTACGATTATCTCCCAAAATGAACGAAACTTCAGATTTTGGTACTTCAATCTTCATTTGAGTTATTGCATTAGGCATACTCCATTAGATTGTGGTATGTGGTTTGTTTCCTCTTGGCCCTGAGATGAATTGGTCAATTACAATAATGTGGACTAGTCCAGCCCTGTGGTTGAGCGATCAAAATATTATATGTATTTAACAGGGCAAATGTGGAGAGAATTAGAGCTTTTTGTTGGCATTAAAATTATTTCAGACTAAGTAAGAAAAAGGCAAGTTTACCTACATTGTACCTACGTAAACATGACTGTCATTACAATCATTAGATCCTATTTTTCTCAAGAGCAATTAAACGCTAGAAAAATCTTAAAATCGTTAAGTATCACCGTCACCGGTCAGCGCGCACGCTGCCAGTCTGCGGGATTCCCAACCATTATTAATTAGCCAAAATTACAGACTTAAACAATTCCAAATAAAACACTGCATCATTACGAATGATTATTTTATTTTGTAATGACTTGCGCCGTACATTAGCGGTAACCCTAACTAATTTGAACGTACTTACATTTTAGGTTTTTTCCAAAGCAATTATTTACGGGTCAAAAATAAGTCTAAAAGTATTGTAGGTAATGGGCACAGCAGTTTTATTGTTTCCGTCTGTTACTTTATTCATTTTTAAACAACATGTATCTATAATTGCGGAACAATCGTATTTATTTTGTTTCAGCTGTTTGTGAGTCACTTACACTAGATAGATGCAGTAAAAGAACTCATATTCTTAAGGCAAAACTTTATACGTGAAACTGAATATCAGGATCTGCTATGTTTAGGGTTGATAATCGGGGGGACATATGCCAGAATACTGAAACGTTACTCAATTTTATGTCGTACTCAAATATCGTGCCATCTCTGTCATTTTACAAGGAATTTTTAGAGATAGAACTATACTTAAGTACGACTTAAAATTGAGTAGCGTTTCAGTATTCCGGCAATATCCACTTATCGCTTTGAACGCCATGGGGGACAAGGTATGGGCCACGATAGCGGAGGATTTACCCTCAAACCATCAACAGTTTTCTGTCGGCAGTCAAGGGCTTAATTATCCACTTCTACAAAAACAATGATGAAGTGAACGATGTACCTATCTCCAATCATCAAGTCTCTACATGCATAAATTTATTAATTTTCGTAAAAGAATGTTCACGCTTTTTGCCCCAAAATCCCTGCTCAATCATTTTGAATAAATTAATTTCGTACGTCATTATTGTCCTAAGGTTGACAAAAAACTTGTATCAATCATGAAAATAACATATCGGCACCTAATTTGTAATTATATTTTAGTAATTATATCTAATGAGTTTGTTTTGACGTAGGTATTCTATTATTTTTCTGTTGTTGTAGATAAACTAAGTGTTATTTGTATGAGTACCCGTCTTTTGTTTTTTTTTATGTCATTCCCGTTGGTAAGACAAATTAATAACATGCCAAAACCAATCCTAATGCATTGTAATTAGGTAAATAATCTCGTTATACAAATGTTATCAGTGAACATTTTGGAATTCATGTAAAACATGTATATGTGATATGATAGGGAATCAAAGTTTAGTAACTATTAAAAGGATTATTTATGTTTCTTTTTTATGATAACAGTTGAATGTTATTCACATATTCGTCAAGCACTTTACTGGCTACCTAGTAGACTAATAATAAGGACTAGTTTTTAATCCAGAGACATCAGGTAATTGATTCAATTTTAGGCTTTATTAAGCAACCTATAAGGTTGATTATAAGAGCAACCGTAGTCTACACGCTATGAAGTTTGATACATATTATGTAGGTTGCAAGTAATTCGAATTTAGAAACGACCTAGAGATGCTACCAGAGAAAAAATAGGAACTCTTCAATATCTATGTCGTCATAGAATAAAATCAATAGCTAATAGTACACAGATTAAAATGTTTTACTATTAAAATCACGACTAAACAGTCTAGTCATAAGAACAGAGTTTATTTCGCATAAGGAAGATTGTGTCAAATGGTATTCATTAACGAAACACATTCGATCAATTGGAATCCGAATATAATATGTACCTACTTCAAGATCACACGGAAGATTGTATACGAGTAATTGATTGGCATCTTTGATTATTTTGTCCTGTGTATGTTGACGATAAAATAATATATTTTAATATAAAACAAAGTCATATTGGTTGCACTGCACTGAACACATACGTACAGTATTGGAAAATGAATATGTATCAGAGACATTGTAGAAAGAACATACTTTTTTAAAAAAAGTAACGAATGGTGTTTCTTGCTCGTTTTTCTCCATTCGAATCTACATTTTTAATGAGCACCTGGCTTCTCCTAGCTTTACTGACGGACTGACTGACAGACTATTATTTATTTTGTATTTGTTGACGTTTCAAAAGTACCTAATTATGGTTTAATTGAATGCTTTGACTTTGACTGTTTGTAGCTTATTAACACCTGCATGAGTGGTTGATTTCAGATTGAATCATTTGGTCGTACCTATATAAGAGCCGTTTTTATGAATAAACTAGATACGTAACGTTTCACAAGGAAAACTATCCTATTCAAAAAACTACAAGTTTCTTCTAAACTAATGCCTTGTTCGCACTATGCTAGTATTTTAATCGAGCAACGCGTGTTTAGTATATCCCTCTCGATTCTGTCTAAAAATCGAAGCTAGAGAGAGTTACTAAATACTCGCTACTTGACTAAAATAGTAGCATAGTGTGAACATGGCATTAGTGACATCTTCACTATACCTACTAAAATTTTCCAAGACTACAGCATAAAATTTAAACAAAATCTATGACATACCAGTGTTAATTGAACTCGTAGAATTCACAAACAGGGTCGCTCCAGGCAGATCACAAGATATTGTATTTATTTTCATTTTATCTTTTAAACAACACACTCAACTAGACTAACCCTTACTAAACCTTTTGAAAACCTGATTATCATGACTTGTATTTCATATTTAATCAAGTAAATAAACCTCGTTCTCTGCCTACCCACTTATGTATTTAAATATTTGTTCAGCCACTGTCTTACGCAGTTACTGTAAGGATTACAATGTATGCTCACCTTAATATGTTATAATGTACCCACTAGAAATAAGTCGGGCATATTTTATGGGCACTTTCTGTTCAAATATATTATTAGAATTGATTTAGTTGTTTGTTACTTTGTTTTAAGAATATTTACTATGTTCAACCCTTGTAACTATTTCTACTAGTAATTCAATCTACTTTTTAAACGTAAGAACAGCTCATACATGATGTTTAATTTTCTATTAAAAATGAAAAGAAAACTGAAATTACGTTCTAAAATTAAATTTCGATTAAAGCAACTAATTTACCATCATGAGGCCGATTTTTCATGTCATAACAAATAATCAGTTAATTGTTTACTGCAGAATAAAATTTACATTTATTTGATTATGGAACAATTTTCAAATATTCAAAGTTAATCCTCAGCAGTGGCGTAGCGTATCTTGGCGGGGCCCCGTATAAAAATTTGTTTGGGGGCCCTTATGAAAGGTAAAAATTTCTCAAAAGAGATATTTTTTACATAAAATACCTCCTCTACCCAAATTATCGGACAATGATTAGGTACTTTAGTTTTTCCAAAGTTTCTGCCAACCTTTGATCGCATGCATTTTGTGATTACTGAAATAAAATGTAAATTGAGAAGTTTTTATATTTTTGCTTACACACGCCTCGTAGTCCGGGGCCCCATATAATTGATACGGCAGATACGGCGCTGGCTACGCCCCTGATCCTCAGTTAAAATTTATCTGGAGTTGGAAAAATCGGCCCTTAACTGATCAACCACGTAGATCATTAGATCAACCACGTAGCTAATGTTATTCTACACTATGTCACACACATTTACAGGAGAACCAATTACCTTGCTCTAATCAGTCGCGCCTGTTACAGTTACAAGTATAACTTTCACAGTTAATAACTGCCAATAAGTAACAATCAGTCCGATACAAAACTAGTTAATTATAAAACCATCGCGTTACTCGCATGATCTTCAAGCCATTACAATAGTTGAATACTTGATTGGCTACAGTCCATCACTTGTAAGTATTAACTAGCATTACTTGTCTTGAAATGAGCAGCCGTTGCCGTGACGTAGAATGTCTCAAGTAGATACCTATTATTCTAGTGTCACCAATGAAAGGACTTTTGACAGACATGTCTGCTTTACTTCCGAAGATCTGTTGTGCTGTGTAAGAATGCGTGGTGTACCTATGGTGATTGTTCTAAGCTACAACGAGATATGTGTATTATA